CGGCGCGCCCCTGTTACGACACGAGCTGGTTTTAGGCGAAAATGGGGGGGGGGGGGGGCTCTGGTTCCCTTCCTGCTTCACTGCCTCCCAGTATGGCTCAGGGCCAGCAGAAGCAACGCTTTCCCCCAGCCACGTCATTTTGGACACTCAGAAGGGAAGGGAACAGATACTCAGAACTGTGACTTTTGCAGCCTGTCTAGGGGGAAATACTTCTTTTTTTTAATTTTATTTTTTTTTAAATCAAGTTCTCTGTGCTTCCAGCCTGTCACCCAGGGACCCCTTTGGAGAGGAAGTGTGGCCTCTGCCTCAGTTTCCCCAGCAAGGAAGCTACTGGGGACCAGCCAACCTCACAGAACTGCAGAGCTGCCTGGGTAAAGCTGCCAGAGATGCCCAGCACGGCATTATCACCTGCCCCAAGGGCAACTGCAGCCGAGCCCTTTGTCAGGAGAAAAACATCTGCAGGAGAAGACTACGACCCATCCCATCCGTGCTCCCCGAGGGCTGGGATTCCCCTCTCTGCCACCACACAGACCCTCTGAAGCTGTTCCCACTCCACAGATGCAGAAGTCTCACTCTGAGACCTGCCCACAGCTTTGCTCAGTGCTGACACGCCCCAAGGGGCACTACCGCAGGCATGTGTTAGGTGGTACTTATCAAGTCTGAATCCTCACTTTCCTCCTTCCAGATGGGATATTTCCACAGGGCTGATTTTTTCCCAGGCTGGGGTATACCACAAGGAAAAATACTCTTCTCCTTCTGCTCACTTTCCCCCCCATAGCAAAGAAAAGCCTTTGAGCAGCAGTTGGAGGGATGCTGTAGGCAGAGAGCCACAAGCATCTGTACATCTTCCTGAAAATGTCAATAGCTCTGCAGGTTGCACTGTTTGGCCACCGTTTTTTGCAGGCCTTCGTCGTCAGGACCAACCTGGCCTTCACATCCCCAAACCCCTCCACCAGGACAGCACTGCCACCTCCACTTCACCCATTGGGGGAAACTGAGGCACCAGAGAGGGAAAGACACTCAAGCAGTGGAATTTCTGCCCCAGCTGAAAGCACTTCAAGGGGGATGGGAGGATGAAATCCAGATGAGCTCCCCCCCGCCAAGAAGAAAAGACAGAAGAATTCCACCCCTGCAGCCAAAACCAGGCTCTAAGCTCCCTGCAGTGGGAGCCCCAGCTAGGACAGGTGCTGGGCCAGGCTCTGCCAAGCCAGAAGCAATGGAGAAGCCCCAGCCCAGGCGTTCTGCCACACTGGATGCAGCTTGGGGCTCAGGAAGTGCACGGATCAGAGCTGTGTACGTACCTTCCAACACTTTATCCAGATCCGCAATGAACTCCTCCAGCTCCTGCGTGTCTCCGAGCTTAGCTAGCAGAGAGAAACACACGATCAGGTCTCTCCCATTCCTCCACACGAGCTCTAATTTAGAAGAAGAAAGATTCCTACCCCTTGCTTCTAACCACAATTGCTCCAGCTGCCTGCTGCTTCTGTACCAGCCAAGTGCTGCCTGGCAGCGGTGGGAGGGGGTTACGGGGGGGGGGCTGCGCATGCAACAGGGCCTGATCACTGCACAGCTCAGGAATAATCCCAGCCAAATGCCTCCGAGCACAGCATCTCCGTGGGTCAATGGACTTCTGTGGGATTACAGCCCACCCTTGTATCCAGCTGCTGAAGGCATCAAAACAACAGCATTGAACCTTTCCAAGCAGTTGCCCAGCACCACCTGGCTCTGGAGTCCCACACTCACATGGGGCTTAAGGGCAGCTCTAGCATCACCCATCCCCAGGGCAGGGTGCTCCCCCCACCCCTGTGTGCACACATAGATCAGGGCTGGGAGTTACAGAGCTGAGGAGCAAGGGGTTTCACCAAGGACGCTGCTTGAGGGCAGCACTGGCAGGAAAACCCCAGGACTAACTCTGACCTGCAGACACACAGTATTTCCACCCCTTACACTCCCTCTGACCTGCAGACACGCAGTATTTCCACTCCCCACACCCCCCTCTGCCCTTCACAGCCAAAACCCCACACTTCCTCTGCCCCTGATCTCAAGCCCCAGCTCTGGGGGTAGGATGGTGCCCACAGGTATCACGCAGATCAGCATCCCATAACCCAGCCAGTGGCACTTCAGGCTCAGTGTGGGGGAAAGCGGAGAGGCAGGGCACATCCTCCCACGCACACAAGGTCAGTCAGCAAGGGCTCACCTGAGGCCAGAGCTGGATCGATACATGGTGGGAAGGGTGCTCACCTTCCCTGTGCTGTCTCATCCCTGCACAATCCTGCACTTCCCAGGTCAGGAACAAAGCCCCTCGCTGTGACCCTCCTAAATAGACCTCTGGCTAAGTCTAGCCTTGACTGGAAACATGCCAATCCACCTTCATACCTCTTCCAGGATCCAGCCGGGACCCCAGGGCTCATTCCCACCTCCAAATCCTGTAGGGCCCCATTGGCACCCCCCACGCAGGGTAGCCCATCACTGCTGAGCCAAGCCAAGCATACAGAAGGAAGCCCTGGCAAACTGCCCTTCAGACAGATCTTTCAGCCTCACCTTTGGAAGGGTAAGCATTGGCAGGGGTGTTGAGGTCCTCCTCGCTGGAATTAAGACTGCTCCCTGGGGACGTGCTGGTACCTGCAGATTCAAAGCATCAGTCACTGTCTGCAACTACAGGCACCTTATAAACAAGTTGCAGGACCAGGGACCGATCATGTGTGTGGCATAGGGTCCTTGGTTCACCCTCACTCTTGGCCAGCCCATCTACTCTCCACCCGCTGCAAGGAATGCTTGGAAAAAGGGAACTGAGCTCCTCTGCCAGGCCAAACAGCACCCGAGGCTGCCTGGGCATGGCCACAGGGACCCCTCAGGGTTATTACAGCCAACTGGTTCCCTCTGAGCTCCTGGTAATCTCAAGCCTTGTGCAGTCCTGCAGCAGCCGCCCCAGCAGAAGGAGCCCCAGCAGAAGTTGGCAAGTCCTGTGCCAGGATCCAGTGGTCATCACCTCATGCTACCCATCCAGCCCTCAAGGGATGAGTCGGGTGGGTAACTCAGAGGTGGGATCAGCTGGAAGTGCTGTGGTTTTACCATGGAGGAACCCCCAAGCTCCCAAAGCAACTCCATCCTGATGGACACCATCCTCCCCCAGGATCTCTCATTCCCCAGCCCCGGACTCACTCTCCAGCTCATCGATGCCACTGTCATACACGCTGTGTCCTGCTTTCCTCTTCAGCTCCTCCAGGTGCTGCTCATACTGACAGGCAGGGCCTCGGTCAAAGTCCTCTATCACCTCATCAAACTCCCGCAGCAGGTCACTGAGCTCATCAGCCATCGCTGGGGACAAGAAGTCAGTGGAGGGAAGGGTTTGGGGCAGGCACCAGGCAGACAGCCCCAGCAAAAGCCTCTCGGGAGCAGTACCGGGCTGGGGAGGGGGCAGACCCAGGCTCCGGGCCCCCTCTCTGCGGGCAGGCTGCCAGCGCTCGCTCCTTACAGCAAGTTCAGGGCTGACATTGCCTCTCAACTCCCCCCCCCAGAGCTCTGAGCACATCCAGCTCCCTGGACAGCTCGGCCATCCTTCCAGCTCATCCCACAAGTGAGCAGGGGCCCAACCCAGTAAGAGCTGGTCCTAAACAGGCAAGGTTCTTGGTCCTGAACCCAGCTTCTTCCTCTGCCTTCGGGGAAGTTACGGCAGGGCTGAACAGGGGCCCTGGACCATGCTGAGCCTGGGCGACCAGCAACAACAGCACACCGCAACCTGACAGCGGAGCAGGGCAGCGAGCCCAGCAGCTGCTCCCCAGGGATGTGCCGCTTACTGCCTCCGGATCCGGATCCGTCCCTGGGGAGGGGAGGCGAGGCTGGAGCGGTCACACAGAGACGCTTCAGAGGGCTGAAAATACCAGCACAGCCGGCGGAGAGGAGACGGGCGAGGGCCAGCCCTGGGCTCAGGCTGCCTCTGAACCAGCACACGCGGGACGGGGCCACCAGTGGGTTTGTGGAGGCGGCAGCGCTGGTGAAAACTCAGGGGAAAACCCGATGGAACCCCAGGCGGCACACGGCGGGGGCGGGGGAGGAGCAGGTGGCCACAAGCCAAAGCCGGGAGCCTCCGTCCCGCAGGCTGCAAACCGCGTCCTGCTCCCCGGGGATCTCCCCACGGGGGGCTCAGCAAGGCGGGGGGGAACAGGATACGGGTGCAGAGACCCTTCGGGAGCTGGGCCCGGGGGGGGGGCTCTGGGGAGGCACGGCACGGCACTCACCGGCGGCTCGGCGGACGGACGGACGGACGGAC